TTTTATATTTCTGCCTGGATTATTGAGCATGCATCAGGAAAACTCTTCTAATCCTTCAAAAACTTTGTTCTCTGCTTCAGCATATTTGTTTTTGTTTTTTGTCATCTTATGCTGCTTTTAGATTTTGACTACCATTCTGCTACTTGTAGCTTTTAGATAGCCTTTTGTCACTTTTATATTTTAGTTACCATTTTGCAAATGTAGCTTTTATCTAGTTCTTTGCTACTTTTTACTTTTATCTACCGTTCTGCTAATTTTAGCTTCTAGCTAGCTTTTAGCTGCCCCTTTGCCACTTTAGGTTTTAACCAGCCCCTCACACTGTTAAGCTAGTGTTTCTTCTTTAAGCTAGCATTTAGTTACTTTTTGCTTCTACCCAATATTTCACTACTTTTATCTTTGAGCTAAAGTTTTACTTAGTTTAATCAGCATTCTGCTTCTTTTAGCTTACATTTAGTGTTCTATTTTGGTTTTATACAAGATTTTACAATGTTTTCTAGTGTGAGTGAAGTAGATAAACACGACTTTTCTTAATATTGCATGTGTAACAAAAGGTTTGTTTGCCGTAGATCTACGGTTGGGGCTATAATTGTAACGGACAGCTGGGTTTGGGCAACAATGGGAATCAGCAGACCCCGTGCAGGATCGCTGCCCTCCAAGGTGTCAACATTGTCCAGGTAGGAATCCGACCAGCATCAACTAGTTTAAACTCTTTTATTTAATTTTATTTTCTATTACCAGTCTCCTTAAATACATTCTGCCTTTCAATTACAGGTAGCGTGTGGATATGCACACACATTGGCGCTTACAGATGAAGGATTTGTTTACGCCTGGGGAGCCAACTCTTATGGACAGTTGGGGACAGGCAATAAAAGTAATCAAGCTCTTCCCACCCTAATAAATACCGACAAGGAGAGGTTAGTACCTTATTTTCATCCTCATGTGTCCCCTGATCAGTGAGGGTTGTCAGGTTTAATATCACAGAATGATTATCTGCTGGTTGGCTCTAATGAAACATTATCGCCTGTAAAATCGTCCTTCGTTTTCTCTCAACTTTTACCAGCACTATTAATCGTATTTCCTTAGACAGATATTACTGTGCTTTAAAGGTTTGAGCTCTGATCTCCTTACCAGGATGGTGGAGGTGGCTGCATGTCACACCAGCCACACGTCAGCTGCAAAGACGCAGAGCGGCCAGATTCTGATGTGGGGTCAGTGTCGGGGTCAGGCCGTGTCCAGCCCCCACCTCACCCACTTCAGCAGCACCGATGACGTGTTCGCTTGCTTCGCCACGCCAGCCGTCACGTGGCACCTCCTCTCAGTGGGTAAGATTACTGCGGAAGCACAAAGATTTCAACAAGACTAACTAAACACTCATTATTCATGCAACATTCAGGATGGATGGTGGAATTTATTTTTTATCTTTTCACATTAATATCCCAAGGGGTGAAAACATTTAACAGTTAGGGAGTTTTTGTAGAATAGTTTAAATTGTTGCCATTGTCATATTTAGCCTTTGACCTCGAGATAATGATGCTGTAGGCACATATCTCTGTGTCGAAGGCGCAAATTCTGGGAAGGGGTCAAAGAAACAACAGGAAACCCTGTTTCCCCTCTGTGTCAAACTGTCGTTTGTATCAACTCTCAAACCGAGCAGCTTTTTTTTCCTTGATTTTTTTCATTGTTGTTGTTTTGCATTTTGAGGTTCTCAACATCCTTCATTAAAATCTGGAAAAAAAAAGTGATCTTTTAGAGTACCTTTCCACTGTTATCTGACAGAAACAAATGACATCCAGTATTTTTGGGATTTGATGCCATGACTTTTTTCTTATGTGATCCATATCAATGACCTGTAAATAAATAGGTTTGGTTTATTTGTCATATGCAACACAAGGTCAACAATGCAATGAAATACTCAGGATGCGAAGAGCCGCCTCGACTCGCCAAAAACCCAGCAACAACACATGCCAAAGCATGCAACAAAAATACAAAAACAAGACGCCAAAAGTGAAAAAGAAATGCATCTACAGCAGCACGGTCCCATTAGCAGCATGGTACTGTTAGTGTGGTTCTGTTAGCAGTGAGGTCTTGTTAGCAGGTCCCTTTAGCAGCATGATGTATGTAAATGTAATTTGTATGTATATGTAATGTAATTTATCTAATATATTTAAAATAGTGTTCTGTACAGACTGTGGGAGGTTTGTATTTACAGTAAATTCTAACAACTTTTATCATGTACTGTAGCACTAATGTGTTAAAAAAAATAGATAACATTTGCAGGAAAACACCTAAAAATACCAAATGGCAAATAATCTGTTGTTTTGTTCTTGTTTTTCTGTGCTTTTGGCAGACGGTGACGACTACATGACTGTGGCTCAGTCTTTGAAGAAAGAGTTTGACAGTCCGGAGATTTCTGATCTCAAGTTCTTGGTTGATGGGAAGTGCATTTATGTTCACAAAGCCCTGCTGAAAATCAGGTAATGAAAATTCACTACCTCAAGCTCCACTTAGATATTTAAATTGTGTAGGTGATGGATGATTTTTTTTTTTTTTACATTATAAAATGATTGATTCTTTACATTTAACATTTAGTTTTTGCTTCCAAACGTGTCTTAATTCAAGTTTTAACTACTTGTCACTTCATTTAATGAAACACAGTCATGTATCCTATTTGTATTTATTTCTTTATTCACCTGGAGCTAAAAGTGTCTCCAGGTCTTTAATTTTACTGAGCTGATGCAGCCTGCATCTCCAATCTGACTTTCATTTTGGTCACATGGTGGTGCTTCTTATTTTTATAGACTGTGCTTGATTTGGAGGAATGAAAAGAGAGGCGGATTAAAAATGTAATTTTATGAAAACACGAACGAGAGAAAAATAAATCTGATTAATTTGAGTCATTTTGTCGCCACGACTGCAGCGTTCCATCAAAAACGAGCTGTAATTGTATGTTGTTTTCTTATATTTTAACTTTTCAAGTTGGACAGAGTTTCCCGTTAGTCACGAGGAAGCGTGAAGCAGTCTATTGTTTCCCGTGCTTCTTTTTTTAACCACACTTGAACACCCAGTTTCTGCATTCCAGCCCTTTGCCCTCTTGCACCGTCAGGAGGAAGGAGCCAGGCTGTCTGCACCATCAACATGGTGCACAAATTATGCAGCACTACCAAACCTCTGCTTTGACAGGACCTCTCACAAATGACGCCATAAATATGCTTTGGAAAATGAAGAGTCAGTTGTTTATTTTACTTTGCTGTGAAAAGAGGACGATAGCAGCTGTATTTAGAGCCAGCAGAGATTAGCAGTGAGTGGGACGAGACACAAAATGTGTCCAAAGAAAAGACAAAGACACAAATATGGAAAAGACAGATGTCAGACAGATGTGAAGGTGATAAATTTCAGTCTTGAGTTGGACGATGTGATTATGTGAATAAATAGTTACTGTTTAGATCCTGCTTGGGAAATATTTTATTCTCAGCAGCAGAAGCAATGTAACTCAGTGATCATCAACTGATGGCTTCTGGGCTATATCTGGCCAGCAAAGTTATTCTGTTTGGCCCTTGAAGTTTTTTATAAATGGATACAGAAATCTGTTATAGTCCAGCTCCAAAAGAGTTGATGATGGCCGTGTCTTGGCCAATCAGGAGGCTTGCACAGACCATGTGATCAGGCATGACGGCAATGAGGACATGATTCCTGAAATGCTTTTTGCTACGATGCAAGAATTACTAAAAAAATAAATAAAAAAGCAAATATCCCAAATTTATAAAGGAAACTCAATTTTTGTTTTGTTTTTTTCTTTTATTTAAATTCATACGTCAAATCCAACAATTCAGACGTCTATAAAATGTTCTCTTTTTGATGAAACTTAGTTCAGTCTTAGCCTACACATCTACAGATGTCCCATGAGCTCCGTGTGGTGAGAGTTTAGCTCTCAAATAGATGAGTTGTGAGAAAAGCTTTAAATACTGCAACAGTAGGTGCTAGGCTAAGCTTACCTGAGTTAGCTTGAAGCTAAAGATGTTAGCATC